GCTGTTTAGTTGGGAAGAATTATAAAATCAGTTAATGCCCTGAGGATAGCATAAGCAAAGATGCTTTTATCTTTGAACCCCTGAATTTGTTCCTGAGAATTTTCTGAATGATAAGCAGGTAGGAAAATTTCCAGCTTCTCCAGTAAACTTTGCATTTGCTGAAAACCTGTGGATAAGTCCTGAGTGAAGATTAGAACCATGTGGGTTGCGAGGAGGTAGCGAGAAGCAGTGCCTTTATTAAAACCCACTTACTTTGTTCCAGGAAGTAGGTAGTAAGTCAGTATTTGCCAAGGACACACCATATATGAAGACAGGATGTTGGTCCATAATATGTGCATAGCATTTGGGTATTTGTGTGTAAAGTAAAAAAAAAGTATATATGTAGCCCTGGCCTGGGTTGCTAACTGGTTAGAACATCAGCCCAAGCACCCAAGGGTCTTGGATTTGATTCCTGGCCAGGGCAGGTACCTGGGTTTTGGGTTTATTCCCTGTCCCTGGTCAGTTCATGCAAGAGGCAACCAATCGATGGATGTGTCTCTCTCATATAGATATTTCTCTGTCTCCTTTTGCTCTCCTCTTCCCTCTTCCCTTCCACTCTCTCTAAAAATCAATGGAAAAAAAATATCCTTGTGTGAAGATAAAAAAAAAAAAGCACATATGTAGATTATTCTGGAGGAAGTTAAACATTTTTCTAGTCTATAGAGTCCCTAAGAAATCTACCATTAAGACTCCTCTAGCAGAAAAAAGGACCTGCATTGAGCTAGTTGTCTAACATAAGGCATCCTCCAGCCGGTTGGGTTCTGGGAGGCAGCCAGGGCCTCCCCAGTACAGCAGCTGAGAAAAAACCCTCTGAGGGTTTTTACTTGGGCCAAGTAATACATAAGCCTTCTGAGGCCTTTATGGAATTGAAAGATGGCCATTAAGATACATATGGGTTTAGTGTACATATATTGATAACTTTTTCTCTGTTGTATAGGCAAAAGAATTTATATGTCTGTCTGACTTGCTTGTCTTAAATGTCCCAATAGGATCTTAGATTACTGAGAAATTCTATGTAAAAATTGTAGTGCGGGATGAATCAATCAACCAGCACTAGTAGTGTGTGACGTTATCTATAATGTCCCCTTGGGAGACATAAAGAAGTATAAAATGTGGTTTCTGTCCTTGGAGGAGTTTACAATTAAAATGAGGCTGTATTGAAGCTCCCTCTTCTAAGCAGATTCCCAACCTTCCTTGGTCCCATAACGACAGGCCTTGTGCTGAATGTTGGTCAACTCAACTTGAGAAAGTCATGAGGAGGAAACATATCCTGTCACCACGCACCCAGAGGTTCAGCTTAGTGCCCCTTTTTTGTCACCTAGGAGGAGAGGAGGGAACATTTGTGCTGTCATTCCTAATTAATTTTTTTCCTACAAGACATTTGCCCTCAATTGTAAAGAAATTGCATGGACTGTCACTGTATAGTCACCAGTTTTATTTATTTTTTACTTTTTAAAAAATATATTTTTATTGATTTCAGAGGGGAAAGGAGAAGGAGAGAGATAGAAACATCAATGATGAGAGAGAATCATAGATTGACTACCTCCTGCATGCCCCACACTGGGGATGGAGCTCTAAACCCAGGCATGTGCCCTGCCCCGGAATCAAACTGTTACGTCCTGGTTCAGAGGTGGACGCTCACCAGCTGAGCCAGGCCTGCCAAGCACCAGTTTTATTTTTCATCCCAGCAACCAAATGTGGAGAATTTATGTTTGTTGGTTCTGTGTCTGCAGTGGAGCTACATCCTTAGAATAATATCACAATAGAGAAATAACTTCTAAATGGGTTAGCCCACATATAATTCTGATTGCCTTTAATTAGGGGCAAATCACAAGCTAAAAGGAGTTACATATTTGAAACCAGTTAAAAATAAAAATAATAAATGGAGAAAAAAATGTAACCTCAGAAATCTTAATTTTTAGCTATAGGATTGCAGTTTCTTTATTCATTAAATAACGTTGTCTGCCCCGTCCTGTTTCTCTGTTTGGAACTGTAACATGGATTAGGAGAATTGCCAAATATCTATGAAATGAGAGCTTTCCTCCCACCCTTCCCATCCCCCATAATAGCCCAAAACAAATTAGACTGAGAAAGTCACGCAGTTCAGCCCAAGAATTAGATTTGTGCAGCCCTAACACAAGAACTCTGTGATTGAGAGAAGTCTCCAAGGCAGAGGTAAGGGGAGAATTAGGTCAGCTGGAGTATAGACCGTTCAGTAATGTTTCCTAGAAATAGGGAGATAACATGACAAACTGCTGGCATTCATTTACAAACTCTGGCTATAAAAATAGCAAAACTTCGGGAGCATTAACAGAGCCAAAAGTAGAACTTGCTGTTTATTGTTCCAGAGGTCGGCTTTCATGAAGTTTGAGAAAGGACCAGATTTGAGGCCATTGCTCTCATGATTTTTAAGTCAACCTCCTGCTACATCCAGAGAAGACTATACACACATAAAAATAGACCATTATTATTGCTGTTTGTGGCATGAAGAAAGAACTTTTTTCTTTGTGGGAGTATGCCAGATCATTTAGGGGGGATTGAAATATGAATAATGTGTGCGGAGGGGAGCGGCTGTGGGAAACGAGGCTGGACTACCTGTGCCTGTGTGCCCAGAAGACTTATTTTCATCAGTTGTCTCCTTCAAGTTGGTTAGAATTTTAAGCATCTGCTCATTCCTATCCCACTTGAACAGGAATGGGACCGAGTAGGAGCAGGGCTGTCCCAGTGCATGTGAGCAGCCAGAGCAAGGGGGACTGTGTGTAACAGGGAAATTACCAGCGTTTCTATGGTCATGAAGCAACATGTGCCCGGCTAATTACTGTTCTCTGTGACTGCTCTCACCTCTCGAAACTCTCCATGGCCCAACCGCGGAAATCCTGTTTGTCTGCCTCCCACCCTCTCCCCCAAAGAATGAAAAACAGTAACTTGCAAGGCTGGGCTTGTTTAATGAATGCAATTTGTTTTTGTTGAGCCAAAGACTCGAGGTTTCTGAGGCTGTAAACTTGATGCTAGATTTGTGAATGACTCCATGGTCCTCATCTTTAGATAAGTTCAGTGTGTAGGGTGTGTCTACACTTGCTGGATTATAACCGGTCCAAAGGCATTTTTCTTTATTTTTATAGGTTCCTAGAATAAAGTGACCTTTAATGGTAGGTGAGGCCATCTTCAGGCAGAGCTATATCTAGCATGGTGACATCTGAGCATCTATTATGTTAATAAGAATGTCCTCAAGATGCTGCCTCCTCCCTTGGTGATCCTGTTCTTGCCCTTAGTAACTGCTGATGTTGGAAAAAGTGGCTCTTTCTGTTGCTGTTTTTTTTTCTGATAGAAATAGCGAGTTATCTTGCACTCTGGGTAACTATAGAGTTTGGTAATATCTTTTCATTTATTCATTATTAGAGCATTCAAAACCAAACAGTTTTGCTTTCTTTATAGTAAGCTGAACTTGCCCTCACTCCCCACCAAAAAAAACACACCTTAGTTTTGTCAAGAAAGATTGAACATCAGTTTTTCAAAGTGTGTAACAGGAGGTAATTTTAATAGCTGTATTGGCTTGGCTGTGGTTTCTTTGAGTGACTACTTGAATATATTAGTTAATAATAAATTATTACTTAGTATTACAGGAAAAAAAAAACACACCTGAAAATAGCTTGATTCTCTGGAGAAAGAAAGTTTCTGTGCATGGTTAGTAATACTTTCCATATAGATGCAATTGCTGGATAATGTTATCCAAACTAATTAATGATGACATATTAGTTAACATATTGCCATCAGCAGGTGGCTTTCTGAGCAGAGGTGAAAATGGCATGTGCTCAAACAAATTGTTATACCCTCGAGAAATGTATACAATTGTTTTTTAAAAGAATCTTTGTAATGATGCCTGGAATATGAGTTATTTTTGTAAAGCACAAAACGGGGGGCAGGTAGGAGAGATGCAGACTAGAAAAACAAAACAAAAGAAAGCAAAATTGGTTCCACCTTTCCCAAAAGCTTTTCTAATTAAAAACAAAAACAAAAACCCAACAAGCGAACAGTTGAATCCACCAGCACAATTTGCCTGTCCTGTCAGAATCTTGGGAAAGACTCAGGTGTCCTCTCTTCCTTCGTACTCTCCTTTCTTCCTCTCCTTTGTCCATTTCAGAGCTGTCAGGGTGTCTTGGCACGGGGCATGTCTGTGACAGATGGGCAGGGAGCTGTAATCTGTTGCTGTCTTTTGATTGCAGAGGAATCATTGTGACAGTGAAGGGGTTAAAATGGTCAACACCTATCAGAGTTTGCCGATAATTAGTGTAATCTCAATCCCAGAACACTGACACAGATGGCCACACAACGATGGATTCTACTAAATTCTGCTTCGGAAGAAATCCTTGTCAAGCTCTTCCCAGCACTTGTGGAACCATGCATTTTTAAAATGCATATGTGAAAAAGTTACTGTTTCTGCATAATATGTGTGATTATGATAAAAGATGATTGTGAATCAGTTTCATTTTGGAAGGTGCATTTTGAATTAGCACTTGCAGATACAGGTTAATTGATATGCACCCTCTGAGCCTGAGGCGTGTAGCCTTTAGAAGGTTTCACAGTGTGTTGACTGTTACTCTATTAGTAAGGATGCTGAGGTATAGTATTGAGTGGTGTGTTAGGAAGGCAAATTACAAGTTAATGTAATATTGTGTTACTATCATGTCTGACAAGCAACATAAAAGGAAAAAGAAACAGACCGCTTGAAAACAAAACTTGAGAAAAATAGGCTTGAGAAAAATAAAATATATTTTTGTTGATTAGCTTCAAAGAGAAAATGTGTAGATAAAAAGCAGACTCTAAAACCGTTTTTCAAAAGTCCAAGTGGTAACCAGAAAGGGATAAATATGACTTAAAAATAGGAGCAGGAATCCATGCTGAACTAGGGGAAGAATGGGAAAAGGAGAACTTCAATAACCCCCCTATGTTCAAATCCACAGGTCCCATTGGCTGGCATCCTAGAGTACTTAATGAATTGGCCGAAGTCATCACAGAACCGCTAGATATCATTTTTGAGAACTCGTGGAGGACTGATGAGGTGCCTGAAGACTGGAAAAGGGCATATTTAGGACACCTTCTTTCAAAAAGGGAAATGGATGGTGACCCTGGAAATACTCATCAGCTTAAATTTTGCTTGGAAAAATTCTGGAATAATCAGTACACTGGGTAACTAACCTACACATAGCTAGAAACGAGGCAGTGAAAGATCACACATTAAGAAGTACTGAGTTCATTTTTAAAGGACACATCATTGCGAGATACAGTCTTATGCATATTTTGGGATTCTTCCCTCTATTCTATGAGCTCTTGATGAAAATAAATTAGTTTGGCTAAGGTTTTTGGAATTAATTTTAAGTGTAACACTAGACAAGAAGCAGGTTTCTGGCATTTGCTAGTAATTACATCATTTTGAAATTAACCTGTAACTTGAGAATAGTAGCTTTAATTTTGTATTTTAACATACTCTTTTCTTTTCACTTTATATAGGACCATGTTTTCATAGGTTGGGATGTTTATATAATTCTATATAGGCTACTTTGGTGAGGGAATTCTTATTTTAAGGTGCTTTCTATGTTCATTTTATATATATAGGTACATTTATAAAGCTGACTAATTAAGGCACATCACCAAAGGAAGCCGATTTTTTCTAACTTTTTTTAAAAAAAATTAATCTGGCTGAAGTTCAGTGTTAGGGCCCATAGACTGCCCTGCTCTGACACACACTGAGCAAGAGCCAGCTCTGGGCCTTGGAGGCTGGTTTTCTTCATTCAGTGGACACTGCCATGATCGGGGCCTCGCCTCACCCCACCTCACCCTGCTCCCCAGGTGTCTCACCTCAGGTCTGTGGGGCCAGGGAGGTGGGAGTTCAGAACCTGGTCTAACTGCAGCCAAGATGGAGAATAGAATGAGGTGGGAGGAGGAAATTAGGATGGTTCTGGAGTTTTTCTGATTCCTGTTGTTCTTGCCTTTGGATATTGGCAGTTTTATTTTCTGCTGAGAAAATGCAACCATGTTGATAGGACCAAAAATTTAGTTAAAAGGAGGTCATCAAAAAAGATATAGACATGCAACAAGCTCTCGAGTCAGGCAGCTCCTGAGAGGAGCTGAGCAGAATCTTCCCTCTGCTATTGAGAAGTAAGAGATGCTGGTTTACAGCAGCGTTGTGATGCTCCAGAGTTGGAAACATTCAAAGGGAAAGAAACCTACATTCATTTCTTCCTGGTATGCACCTGGTCCCCAGGAATGGGTAGGCAGGGAAGGGTGATTTTATCACAATACTGCTTTAAAAAAATCTAAGGTTTACATGGTTTAGCTACTTCTAGAGATTAATTTAGATACTAGATAAATTCAGTCTCATTCTTCACTATAAATTCTAGGAAATTAAGATCTAAATGTTTGTACAAGTTTTCTTTTAAACATACATAGCTTGCAGTTTTATAAGAATTATACTCGAAACTTCAATCATGGTTCTTCAAGTGAACTAGAGTCTTTAAAATTAACAAGCTATATATATATATATATATATATATATATATATATATATATATATATTAATTGATTTTTAGAGAGAGAAGAAAGAAGAGGGGGAGAGAGAGAGAGAGGGAAAGAGAAATATCAATATGAGAGAGGAACATCAATCATTTGCTTTCCACACACCCCCCGACCTGGGATCAAACCTGCAACTGGGTGTGTGCCCTGACCAGGAATTGAACTGGCGACCTTTTGGTGCCTGGGACTACCCGCACCGGGCAGGGCAACAAGCTATACTTTTAAAGGAGTGTGTCAGGGGATCTCTCCTGTAGGTCACAGGTATAATTTATTATGATAATAAATGGCTTCCTGTTGGAGACCTCATTTCCAGGTGCAGCACCTGTGGCGGATTTATTTCACAGACATACATTTACATGCATTTGCTGAACTGCTGCTAGAAAGGGACCTAATTTCTGAAAAACCTATTGTTTTCACTGTGGGCATTATGGTACAATGTAATGCAACCCAAAACGGGACTTTCTGGTCATTTCAAGTTTTTTTTCTATTTGTGTGATGTCCAATGTCAGTTATTTTGCCAAATTTAAGTCTTCTCTGTGTGTTGGCTCTTAGGGTTTGAAGATAACAGTCCTCTACCTAATTGAAGAATCACAACTTAGAACAGTGAAATAGCTGATGGATTTTAAAGATTTTTTACCTAAAACTTTACCTAGCTTTTTACCTAAGACTTTAAAAGAAGCAGAGAAGTATTTCATTAATTCCTTTGCATTAAATCAAGATGAGGTAAGAGTTAGAATGTAAGAGAAAGGTAGTCACCTTGCCATGAACTGTTTCTGGTGATAATTGCTCTACAAGGAGTCATTTTCTCCCCATTGTTTTTCTTTTAAATCTAACATTTGTGATGCCCTTAAATTTTTGTTATGCAAAAGAAGTGGCTGAGGGACAAGTGTTATCAAAACTAGAGGATTATTCTAATTTATTTTTCCTAGAACATCAAGAGAGATTAATTACTGACATTTACTTCATAATATTGAAAAATTTGGAGGATTATGGCAAAGTTTACTTCAAGTTCATTTTAAAACAAAGCTTGTGGGGTGGGGGAGAAAGATTTTATTCAAAAAAAATTTTTTTCTTGGCCTAGGGAATGCATAATTACCAAAGGACTTTTCAGCAATGCAGAATAGATGCACTCAAGCAGTTTCTCAGTCCAGAGACATTCACAGCACCTTGGTGTTGTGAAAGCAACAAGAACAATAAGAATTGGGTTTTTACTTTGGAGTTCCTCAGGTCTTAGTTCAAAATCAAGATCACATTCATAACTTTTTTTTTTTTTGTCTGTGGTGAATCTAAGAACATAAACTGTAGATAGCATGGGAATGATTTTGAACAATTATTAAATTCATCACAGCCTTTTATGCTTGTCCATAAAATGGGAAAAATAAATACCTCCTGTAGTGCTTAAGAGGCTTAAGAGTCCTGCAGCCTACACCCACACAGTCCTTGCATCAGTTTGTGGCACATAGTAGGTGCTGAGTGCCTCTCTCTCTTTCCTTCTTTGCTATCAGCAACCTTCTTTATTTCCTCTTCTAAGAAAGACATTACCTTAAAACTGACCAGAAAACTCAAACATAAATTGACCTGTTCTTCTTGCTGCCTTGAACCCACTGAATAAGGCCCCTTTGATTTCTTTTAGGAAGGATAAAAGAAAAAATTACAGTGGCCCCTCGCAGTAGGAGTTGTGTAAATGTTTACTGATTGAATAAAAGAATGAACAAATTCATGAGGCCAGCACTTGTCAAGTCTGGGAGATAGTCATATAGACACATATGAAAGTATCTCGCTGATTTTCCTCTTTTTAAAACAGCTTTAGACTTATAAGTTTGGTGTGCAAATTAGTGAGTAGTATATGTGCATTTTTCTGTAATTTTGTGACTTGATTTACAAATTAGGGGTGCAAAGGGGCAGTCCCCAATGGCTGCTTCTGGGCTAAATTCAGTCAAGATATGAAGCAGATGACGGTAAACAGCAAACCCTTCTATGTGAAGAGAAACCAGATGTGCCAGGGTCTGGGAAGCACCTGCCAGAAACCGAGATGGTTCTCATAAGAGTCTCAGTGCTGGAAACACATCCCTTGCCTGGGTGCTAAGGAATAACAAAAAGATTCAAGAAAATTAAACTTTTGGACAGAATATTTGGTTTATGTAACTTTGTACAAGTAATACTTAATTAGGTGTCAAAACACCATGTTAGTGGAAGAGTTCTGAATTTTGAAATAAATAAGGAATAAAGAGTTGAATATAATATCCAGAGATATACACAAGCAATGAGCTAGAGCCTGACCCTGCATCGCCAGTTCTCCATTCAGGCCAAGGGCCAAGTAACAGGGAATTCTTAGAAGAGATTAGCTGACACCTTGTGCTTAGAATAGAGCCATAGAGTTGCTGTATTAAATTACACAAAATAGATTATGCAGAGCAGAGCAAATCAACTAGGCTTTCTTTCTCTTATAGAATTTCTAATTTTACTCTATGCAGCCTCGATGATCATCAGTTAGACATTCCTACATAGATATTTTACACTGTTCAGATTCTTTGATTAAAAAATTCTGTTCAGCTTTATATTAACTTCTATTAACTAATAAAATAACTTTCTACTCCATGATCACTATAGTAGATATTTCCTTAAAAGGCAAAAAAAAGTAGTTTAGAAACATGAACAACGTAACATTTTTACTTATCAAAATAGATGTTTCTTTAAAAATTTTTAAATTCCTAAAAATGAAGTTTTATTTGTTGTTGTTAAAAATATAACTTTTAGAGGAAAATGGGGGGTTAAATTTCACAGTATGAGCTGGGTGGTATGTTTTTGACAACTTGACCAACATTTCTTTCATTGGAACAAAAAGAAGGCACTTTTTAAATGTTACTTAAGATGACAAATGTCTTTTCTAGATGTGTTCTGTAACATGCCCTTTGTCAGACAAATTTTCCCTTATTATTCCAAAAATGAAATGCTGTGTTGCATGTGTTATGGGAAAGGTAGTGTTTGATTGGGGCAAATGTTAGAAATTCTATTGTTCATTGCAGTTGTCACCCTGTTCCCCAAGCTTGGCAGTATTCTCAGATCCTTTTTGGATTTGTAAAGCCATTATTCATTGAACATTTCTGCTTATACAGAAGTGTGTGCATGGCCCTGTATAATCAACATGTGTACATCCAAGTAGCCAAGCACAGAGTCATTCCTAGGGAAAACTGCAGGTTTGGTTTTGTAAATGCCATTACAATTGACACGTCCCCCCTTCGGTTATTGTTTTGAGAAGGGGTTGTATGAGAAGGCACTATGAAAAGCCTAATTGGAACAGCATTATGAACCATGGAGTGTATGCCCGTGCAGCCCTGTGATTTGCAAACATATGTTCGTTCTTCAATAAATGGCACGGCGTTCACAGCAGTTCCGCCTTGGCCTCTTTTGTGATCATTTACGTTGGATGAATGGAATACAGCCTGTGCGTTGTTTAAATTGATGATATACAAATGTTTACAGCACTGTAGCATTATGGTTAGCCTGGGAAATTAGAGTTCTAATTCAAAAGAAAGGAAAAAACAAGGCTTCCCACACTGCCTGCACAATTCAAATAAATCATTATGACGTGTACTTAGATGCTTTTATGTGATTGTTACATATGTATATGTTGTGGCTTTCTCCCTATTCCCTCCACCCCACTTCCGACTAAAATAGTACTTGTGGGTGATAGTATGAGATTCTGAACCAGTAATCGTGGCCCACCACAGTGGGAGGGAGGGCGGTGGGATATACTAGTATTAGGTGGTAGGTAGGGTCATATACGGAGTTTCTCCACATGCAGTCCTGCTGTGGTTCCCCCAGCCCCTGATTCTCCATCTCAGGGGTCATTAGATCCAGGGTCTACTAGAGTCAGCCCCAGCCTTACCACTTTCTGGCTTCAGGACCTTCAGCAAATGGAATAATTGTTGTAAATGCTTAGCAAAATAATTAGCACACGATAAGCAGCCCAAAAACATTACTTCAAAGAAGTTTTATAGTAGTGTTTTGTGTGACGTAAAAATGGCATTGTGATATGTTTCAGTGATTATGAATGGCTGATTTTATTCCCACTGAATATGAGAGGAAAGTAAATATAAAGCAAGGAGATGTAGAGTAAGTATTAGAAAGAAATATGCAAAAATTTGAATTTTAGAAATGAAAAGGGACCTTAGAATAAGCAAATCTGATTCAGAAATTATGTAGGTAAGGCACCAAGGAGCCAAGAGTTTGTGACATGCTCACGATAACACGGGTTTGGTGGTAGACAATTGAGATTTCCCCAGATCCTCTAATCTTTTTGTCTGATATCAGATCCTAGAACAGTGATGGCGAACCTATGACACGCGTGTCAGAGGTGAAACGCGAACTCATTTTTTTGGTTGATTTTTCCTTGTTAAATGGCATTTAAATATATAAAATAAATATCAAAAATATAAGCCTTTGTTTTACTATGGTTGCAAATATCAAAAAATTTATATATGTGACACGGCACCAGAGTTAAGTTAGGGTTTTTCAAAATGTTGACACGCCGAGCTCAAAAGGTTCGCCATCACTGTCCTAGAAGTATACCTAAAGGTATCTGTGGCATCTTCAAAAAATACCTGTCTTCTAGACTGGCCTTAATTTCACCTTAGATCCATGATTTTTCTCGATGTAGTGTTAGAACACTTTTGCTCATAAACTAAAGCCCCCAGCAACCGCAGGGCTCTGGGAGCTGAAAACCCAATCTTTCAGCTCTAAAATCTTAGGCTTCAAGTCTTCCTTGATCTGCAAAAAATGGGCCGAGGACATGAAGAGACACTTCTCCAAAGAAGTCATATAGATGGTCAATAGACAAATGAAAAGATGTTCCCCATCACTAATCATCAGAGAAATTCAGTCAGAACTACAATGAGATATCACCTCAGACCGTCAGAATGGCTGTTACAAAAAAGACAAGAACTAAGTGTGAATCAGGATGTGGAGAAAAGGGAACCCTTGTGCTCCGCTGGTGGGACTGCTACTATGGAAAACAGTATGGAGATTCCTAAAAGAACTAAAAATAGAACTACCATACCACCCAGCAATTCCACTCCTGGGTATATATCCAAAGAGAATGAAAAACACTAATTTGAAAAGACTATGTGTTCCTATGTTCATTTCACCATTATTTATAATAGTCGAGATATGGAAGCAACCCGTGTCCATCAATAGATGGATGAAGAAGATGTGGTGCATATATACAATGGAATATTACTCAGCAACAACAACAAAAAATGAAATCTTGCTATTTGCAACAACATGGATGGATCTAAATGGTATTATGCTAAATGAAATAAGACAGGAAGACAAATACTATATGGTTTGATTTATATGTGGAATCTAAAAGAAGAAACTAATGAACAAACAAAATAACAACAGACTCATGGAAACAGATTAAACTCATGGTTCCCAGAGGAAAGGGGTTGGAGGATGGGTGCTCAAGGTGAATATAGGAAATAACATTGTTACAAGTTTGCATGGTGACAGATGAATAATAGACTTAGTGTGATGATCACATTGTATGGTATATAAATGTCAAATCATTATATTGTACAGCTGAAACTAATATATTATTGTATACCAACTATACTGAATAAAAAATTTTGAAGTCTTCCTTGATCTGTCAAGCATATTTAGAAAAGCCAGTGATTGATGAGTATAGCACTAACATTTTTTTTTAATCCTCACTGGAGGATATGTTTTTATTGATTTTAGAGAGAGGAAGGGGAGAGAGAGAAACATTGATGTGAGAAACATAGATTTGTTGCCTCCCATATGCACCTCTACTGGGGATTGAACCCACAACCTTTTGGTATTCGGGATGATGCTCCAATCAGCCCATCCACCTGGCCAGGGCTGAAATGTATTTTTTTAAATGGTGAAATACAATGGATGCAGTAGAGATTCCAACTAAGGAGTGTTAGTTTGACAAAGAATAGGATGATAAAATATCATTAGTAAAATCACATAAGGCAGCTTTTGAAAAGTCTTTCATCTGAACCTGGAAAATGAATACCTTCTAGTCTCATTCCAGGCCATATGCTTTCCCACTGAGGATTTTTTTAATTTAAAAGAGGAATCTTGAACAAGTTTAAATGAAAAAAATTACTCTTCCCTCTCCTAGAGTTACCCTGAGGACAGAGTGCATTCATGTAATTATGGACACTTTTTTGGCCAACCTCCTCTACTTTAAAATATATCCATGTATCTTTAACAGGATGTCTGTGGAATCTCATCTGTTTCTTATTTGAATAATGAGCGCCGATTGTGAATTGTATATATTCAGTGTGCTTTTTTTTTTTTTACATCCATTGTGCGCAATTTAACTTTATTTTAGAAATTAATCTACATAACAGCATTTGTAAAAATAACCATTTTGAGTGAAGAATATGCATTTGACTTTTTCTAAATCCTGACCTCTCAATCAGAAGCCCTGAATCCAGCCTTGGTTTTCCTGGTGAGTAGCTAAGCCACTCCTGTTTTACACCTTTACTCTCTCCTCTATAAACGTGTCCAGAGAACAGCATGACCGAACACACCCTGGGAAACAGGCAGTATTTGGATAACCTCATGTAGTTTAGAAGAAAGTCAGTGACATGGTCTAGTTTTTTTACTGTGAGCTGCAGAAACTGTGAATCCACCTGGTTTGCCTCCCCCCTCCCTACTGGTATTGGTCCCCACCATGTCTTCTATGGTTCCTTGTGTATTTTCCGACACTTTGTGGGTGCTCAATAGTACAGGGTGAGGCAAAAGTAGATTTACAGTTGTGAGTATGCAAAACACTGTTTTTCTTATATTATTATTTATTGTGTTATTTTCCATATGAACATCTGTAAACCTACCTTTGCCTCCCCTTGTGTTATTGCTTGAAGGACTGGATAGACGCTCTCACACACCGAAGGAAACCACACGCTGAAGGCTTAGCTTAAGAGTTGGTTCTACCAGGTTATTTCCTGGTTTCAGGGGACTTGCAGGACCGCTGTGACCTTGTGTTTTGAAGGAGAGAGCAGGCATTTCACCCCAAGACCCGGGAAACCAAGCTTTTCTTTATCAGAAGTTAACCTTGGAGTGCGGTTTTCTTTGTTATTTAGGTCCTCTGCTGTTTACTTTTGTATAAAACCATAAATGTAAATAATTTATAAAATAAATTTACATATTCCTTTAGGTTTTCTTTGGCATAAATGTATTGAACATTGTAACTTGTGAAGGCACACGAAAATACTCAAATGACACGCTATTTGAATTGCGATTTTATTTTGGTCATATTTTCTTAATCTGAATTGGAAGAGGCATATCATCTATTCCTGTGATAAAGTTAAGTAAAGATCAATCTATTTCTGCAATTAAAACTAATCAAATTGTGATTAATGTATTTATCACATAGATGCTAGCATATAGGGTGCTGCTAGATGAAATTCAAAGATATTTTGATAATCTGCCCTACACAAACATTAACTTCCCTCTTAGATTGTATTTTACACACAATTCCTTTTAGATATATTAAAATAAATATGTGGCCCATGATTTTGTCTCTGGAAATAATTACTTCTTCCCTGAAGTTTATTTCTATCTTCTAGCAATAGGAAGACAAAAATAAAAAAAGGAGAGTAGTTAAAAAATTTCAGTCCATGGTTGTTCAGACCCAGATTTGAATCCCACAGAGCTGCTGAGAATTATAATTGCTTGACCTAAGAGGAAACTTGCAACTGTTCAGTGATTATATGATTTTTATCCCCTGATATGTGTGGATTATGTTAATAGGAGAGAAGAACATTTAAATTTAGGAGTAACAAAAACCTAGATGCAAATCTCAGCTCCCCACACCTGGCTGAATGACTCTAGGTTGGTTACAAAATTCTTTGTTTGTTTTGCCAACTGAAAATTCAGGTTAATAATACCCCCTTCCAGAGATCTTTTGGGAATTGAACAAAATAACATGTAAGATAACCCTAGAGGAGGGTCTTGTGTTGGAGGAACATGAGTTCTTACTGCATATCAGTTAGGCAGTATTGGTAGGTAGGGATGGGATGTGAAGAGAGATTTGTGACTCATGAACTAAAATTGTTTTCAAGATATGTTAAGAAAAAAGCTTACATTCTTGAATTGATTATAGAACAACACTAAAAAGTATAGTAATACGTGCCCAGTACTGTCGAAAGCACATTACGTGTATTTAATCTTCACAACAACCCTGTGAGGTAGATGTGATCATTGTGCCCATTCTACAGATGAGGACACTGAGGTAAAGACAGATTTTTGGTAATTTACCCCAAGCCACACAACTAGTAACCAGAAAAGCTGGAATTTGAATCTCAACAGTATGCCTTTTAACAGTCCTTTTAACCTTTATATTTTATGGGGGCAA